AATCCCAGTTGGGTCATTACTTCTATTAGACCCTTTGCTTCTTTGTTGAGTTTCTGTCTGGTATTCTTGTCTAGTGGTGAGAGTGGTGTGTTGAAATTTCCCACTATAACTGTGTGGGGCTTTAGGTGAGATTTAAGTTCTAATAATGTTTCTTTAACGAATGTGGATGCCTTTGTATTTGGGGCATAGATGTTCAGGATAGACACTTCGTCTTGGTGGGTTTCACCTGTGATGAGTATGTAATGACCTCCTTCATCTCTTTTGATTGATTTTATTTTAAAGTCTAGTTTGTTAGATATTAGGATTGCTACCCCTGCTTTTTTCTTGGGTCCATTTGATTGAAAAATTTTTTCCCAACCTTTAACTCTCAGGTAATGTCTGTCTTTGAGGGTGAGGTGTGTTTCTTGTATGCAGCAGAAGGAAGGGTTCTGTCTTCGAATCCATTCTGCTAGTCTGTGTCTTTTTATGGGTGAGTTAAGGCCATTAATATTGAGGGATATTAATGACCATTGATTGCTCATCCTTCTTCGATTTGCGATGGTTGTTGTTGGTGGAATTATGTGTGGAATTTCACCCCTTTGTTCTTTTGGCTGTTGGTAGAGAGGGATTCTCTAATGCTTATGTTTTTCTGGTTGTAGTTAGCTTCCTTGGGTTGGAGTTTTCCTTCCAAAATTTTCTGTAGGGCTGGGTTAGTGGACACATATTGCTTGAATCTAGTTTTGTCATGGAATATCTTGTTTTCTCCGTCTATAGTGATTGAGAGCTTTGCCGGGTATAGTAGTCTGGGCTGGCATCCATGGTCTCTTAGTGTAGGTAGAATATCTATCCAGGACCTTCTGGCTTTCAGAGTTTCCATGAAGAAATCAGGTGTAATTCTGATAGGTCTGCCTTTATGTGTTACTTGACCTTTTTCCTTAGCTGCTCTTAATATTCTTTCTTTATTCTGTATGTTTGGGGTCTTGATTATTATGTGGCGAGGGTATTTTTTTTGGTCCACTCTATTTGCTGTTCTGTAGGCTTCTTGATACCTTTAGGCCATGACAGCATTAAGTTGGGAAGTCATTAAGAAAAGTAGTCACCAGTGAATCACTATAAGTAATACCATGACTTTCATCCCAGTTTTATGATTCCTGAAACAGGGATCTTGAATATGGCATCTGTAGATATTGACTCAGTGCAAAGAAGTAACCACGAGATACCATTGTCACTGAGTCATTAAACATCTCTTCTATTCTTTCAACCCACCTGCTCCAGGATTCATCCAAAAAAATGACAAATCCATTGAATTACACAAGCAATGGACCCATTGTCACACTTTCTTTGCTCTAAAATTTTGGCTAGAAGCAACCTGTTATAAGTTGTTGTTCTAATGATGTGTTAAAAAAAACTACTCAAAAGCAACTTGGGAAGAACAGGGTTTACTTGGCTTTCATTTCCAGGTCACAATTCATCATTAAAAGAAGACAGATCATGCACTCAAGCAGGAATTGATGCAGAAACTACAGAGGAATGCTGCTTACAAACACCTCTCTGACTTGCTCTCTGACTCATAATCAGCTTGTTTCCTTATAGAGCTCAGGCCCACTTGTCTTGGGAGCACTTCACCGAGGAGAAACTATGTGCAGGAATGCAAACTCAATATTTGGAACATCTGTTCCAATAGAGACAAAATGCTTTTTCTTCCCATGAGAAAGCAAGTCAACTTAATCAAATTGCCATAGGGTGTCAGAAAACGATTCCATGTTGAGACTTCAGTATTTGCCTCTGTCACTGAGAGATTAAACTCTTACCAATGGCTATCTCAGTGGTTCTCAACCCTTTATTACCTCGTGTTGTGGTGACCTCCAATCACAAAATTGTTTTTGTTGCTACTTTATAACTGTTACTTAACTACTGTTAGAATCATAATATAAATATCTTTATTTTCCAATGGTCTTAGGCGACCCCTATGAAAGGGTCATTCAACCCAAAGGAGTCACAACCCACAGGTTGAGAACTACTAGGCTTGTCTTGGTGTGTGCAAGTTCATGTTCTTGAGACTAGCTAGAACCACCTTCATGACTACTTAATCAGTCTTCTAAGCAATGAAAAGATAACCCAAGAAATTGGTGGTTTACTGGTGTTCACAAAATATACTATCCTGACCAGTCAATTATTAAAACCTCCATCTGCTAAGGTCACCCTTAGGTAAACATTGATGGGAATAAAAATTTGTGCTTTTGTCTCTTGAGGGATATCTATGCATATGCTTCTTCCCAAAATTTCCTTGTCAGCAATTTTCTAATCACATTCCATCCAAATCCTTGATTATCTGTTACCAACATTTGTCTCCAAGTCACAAATTGCTGTATATGCACGTATTCTGGCATTATTTCTTCCAAGCAATGTAAACCACCAGATGCATTGCTCAAAGTTCTACCCAATAGAATAGTTGCCTTCACCACTCTCATTCAAGTGTCCAGGAAAAGACTCGAATGCATGATTATTTACTTGCAGGTTGTAGCAGAATCATCTGTGCATTTTGATCTAAACCTTGTCCTCGTCTGTCAGCTTACCATAAGGAATGCCCCTGACCACAGGGTGAAGGTGAAATAGGGAAGGTGGGGTGGCAGGAGTGGAGATTATGGCATGTAGGAGCTTTCAGTTTACTCATCTTCTCCCTTTAGTCACTTTTGCTTTCAGTACCTACTTTCAAAGGGAGCCCTCCCTTTTTTGAATGGAATGCTGTTGTGTATATTTAAGTGCATGGCTTGATGGGAGCCATACCACTTAATTCATGGTGGAAAGCTTAGCTCATAGAGCAACTTGGTAGCCAATGATAAAGTATCAGGCTCCACGAAGGCCTATAAAAGACCAAGAGCTAATCTTCATGAGGAATATGAATAGTTATTTGCAAAATGTGTCAAGGATTTGCTCCAAAAATTTGCTCTCACTGTGGGTCACATAAAGAGCCTACAAAAGTCTCTAAACAGCAAGATTATCTGCTTCTAACTTCCAGAGCTATCGAATCTACTAGGCAATATGGCTCAGAGGCACCAGCATATCCTTTACCTTAGAAGAGATGGCTCAACATGTTCCACAGAAATTCATCCCACAAAGCGTCACTGAATTTTTATGAATTTTATCAGATTTATTTTACATCCCTCATCATTCAGTGTCTTACAAGAAGTACAGAATGGTCACTACTTCTTGCTTTAGTAGGTCCCATCAGCACCGAGGTTATTTTCCCTTTCTCAAGTAGAGGACCCATATCTAGCACAATAACTCCAATTAGAGACATCACCAGGTTAAGATTTTGATAATCATCGTCATTCTACCAATCCCATTTTCTACATAGTCCAGTTGAACTGATCAGTGATGTGTCTTGTGGATGCAATCTCTACACTCCCTCTGGAATGCATTATTGGTTTTAGTTTAATATTTTCTTATGTACAGTCAATTCCAGTCACTATCATTTGGATTTTCCTACAATATTAGTCCTCACTCCTCCAGTCAAGGAATACAAGCAGAATTTCTTCCAAATACTAAGTATTCCCCCTTAAGGTAGTCTTTCTATACCTATGTAATCATGGGGTATAGTTAGAGACTCACTAGACCCACTGAAATGGATCTGAACCAAACATCTAGTGATGACCTGACCCATAAGCCTCTATTTTGGGTGGTGAACCAAAATGATATTTTTACCCAGCAGGAATCAGTGCTGCCTCAGTGGTCTCTGAATTTTGATTTTCACTGTAGTTTCTAGTTAATATCTGCCGTTGCTTCAGGAAAGACTGAAGAAGATGACCGGTGCAAACGTTTAATATCTTATGGAGGACTTCCTTCAGAATCATTGACCTCCCACAAATTCAGGGCATTCTGAGCTTAAGTCCTAGAGTTGATTAAGGAAATACAATCTTCCAACTTCATGATTCACTGTTGGAATTGTTTTTCTTTTTTGCTCATTCAAATAAAGAAATAATTTACTTGGCTTTTTATCTATATTACTTCTAGTAAAACTATGACCAGTTAACCAGTAGTGAGGATCATGGGTCAGATATTCTCATTGCATCTCTGGCTTTTGCATCCTTTGTGGTAATACTGTTCACATCAATACTTGTGGTAAGAACAATCTTTGGCCCTGCCATCATGGAATCCAATCATGGACATTGTATTTAGATTTTCTAATGCAGTCCTCACTATAAGATCTGGCTTAAAGGAACAGCCATCATAGAGCATGCTGAGGACGCTAGGGGTCTTCTCTCACATTTTTTTCAGTATACATGTGGTATGCCAATTTTGAGTCAGTAGCCTTAAATGGCAGCTCTACTCTAATGTTACCGTCTCTGAAGCCTTTGAATCTTAGCATCATGGTTAAACCAAGGGAAAAAATGGTCTTCTTAACCTACTGTGAAACATCTTTTGCTCTATTTCAACCAAACATTGAGATCACCTTCTAGCTCGCTGAGCTGCAACCAATGTGAAGTGTGACTCTCTGTTCAATAAAATCAATAATTTCAACCAGTAAATCTACACTTCTTTCTTAATCTAACTTAAAAACTCAATGGTGTTCAGAATATAGTACATTTCTTTCAGATCTTATTTTGTAGTTTACTTTTAGGAGCCCCCAAAACCCAAGTTCAAATGTAAGTCTAGAAGTGTATTATTTACTTTTCTGGTTGCTGTGTAAAATACCCAACAAAAACAGTTAAAGGAAAGTAGGGTACATTATTCTCAGGGCTTGAGGGTGTAGTTCACCATGGCAGGGAAGGCAATGCCATGAGAACAGGTCTAACCTTGATGATAGAAGTGTACAGCAAATGGCCACACTGCATCTCCATCCAGGAAACAAAGAGAATGATGAATGCTGGTATTCACATCACTTTCTCCTTTTGTAAAAGCTTTTTAAATTATTTGAGATTATAATATAATTGCATCATAACTTCATCTGAAACCACAGCCCAAGGGATGGTGCTACCCACATTCAAACATCTCTGGAAAAAAAAATCTCACATACACACCCAAAGATCTGTCTCCTGAATGATTCTGAATCCAATCAAGTTGACAGGAAAGACTGACCGCGACAGGTAGTAGAGGAGTAGCAGTGGGAGTGGGCGATGAGGAGACTGTCTTGTCCTTTAGAGAAACAGTTTCCCTGAGAAATGCAACATTAACCTTCTTAGAAGTGGATAGGCTGTTGTCAGTAACAAAACAAGACTCGTCATAATAGAGTGACTCTGTTTCCTTGGCCACATCAAGCTCCTCCTATGTGTTAACATTCCAGTTTTCCAATGTGATTTTCTTCCCAGTCAATGTCTGTAAGTTGTTAGACACTCTGTGATCCTGGAAGTTCAATGTGTGTTGTAATTCAGTTGGTAACAGGATGAAACTCTAGGTCTGATTTTCAGCAATGGCAATCTTGTAACTATAGCAGATGTGGATTTCCTTCTGAGGACACAGAACAGAGTTTTCCAGGCCATTTATGCTTCACTTAAGTATGAAATTGTATCCCCAAACCCATCCTTTTCTTTCTCCACTTTTCCCAGCAAAATTAACAACAATCAACCAATATTACAATCTTCATTAATTTGTCAAGAATGTTTCAACATTCAATGTTTGTGTAGCCCAGATCCTTCTTTTACATAAGTGGTTGATAAGAAGTGTTCAATAGTGATTTTTGTATATCTCTATTGCTGGAATAAATGACAGTTTTATGGCACAGAACAAAATCATTGGGCCTTGGCTTTGGAGGTCTGAAAGCACACCCTGAATAAACCCCTAACACTTGTTTTTCTTTCTGTGTTTTCATGAGTGTGTGTGTGTGTGTGTGTGTGTGTGTGTGTGTGTGGTCTTCAGGTGTAATAGAATCTACATGAAGTCTATCAAAAGTGCAAGTGCAATTTGATGATTTTTAGCATGTTCACAAGAGTATTCAACTACTGCCGTATTTATTCTCCTCTCCATGTCTTCCCATTTCCATCCTCCAGCATCAGACTTCACATTCATCTTTCACACAGGATACCCTTCTATTCTAGCACACTCAAAAAACGATGGATCTTTGCTCATTGAATTTTTCTGACCCCCACGTTCCTTCTTAAAAATTCAACCTTGTGTATAGGACTTTATTTCCACAGATTTGTTTTATGTCAGTGTTTTATGTCTACTTATAATAAAGATAGAGACTATTTTCATAGAAAAATACAGGAAATAGGGTGTTGGTCTACATAAATTCTATGGATTCTTTGAGTTCTACCACTACCACAATACATGTGGATTCTTAGTATACTATAAGAATTTCCTGCAAGACAATCCATGTGTCTCACTACTATTGTTCCTCTTTCCCTTAGGGGCTAAAATTTCCAACATCTGCTTTATAAATTAGAGAAGATGTTGTTTCTAGAACACAGTACTTCCTGTTCTGTATTTTAACCATACAAGAAATGAAACATTGACATTAGATAGCCATTTTTTAGAAAGCACAGAAAACTGGAGATTCTATGAAGCATTTAAAGCAAGAGGTTGAGAAATATAAACATACAATGAGTCTTTTTAAATAAGAGGGAAAATTTGAGTTGCATAGAAAAAACACTGTTGACAAGAAGGAGCCAGGTGAAAAGGAGGAACGAAAGTAATTATAAGACAATCTAAAGCTAAAGAAACATTACAATTTAGTCATAAAATTTATCTGAGTGCCCTGCATTAAAAGTAAAGAAGAAAAGGAATAACTCTCCTACTGTAATTAGAAAAGACAAAGAAATTCATCAAGATGCTTTCACCAGTTCTAAGCTCCACGGCAATTTCTATTGTGTGCATTTAGTAGGGTTTTAACTGAAATACACAATCCACATTCCAGAAATTTACACACATTGTAAACTAATGTATTACAACACTGTAAGGTTATAAAGTGTCACTCTGTGGAGGTTATTCCTGCAAGACCTGGATATGTTCTATGACATACTTATGTGACTCCGTTCAGGTTTAAAACAAGTGGAATAGGCAGACAATGCATGTCTTCATCACCCCTTAATTGTGATTGTAGAATTAGAAAGAACACCTGACATATTTGTACCCTTAGAATCGTGGTTCTCATGTATACAAAACAGTTAGTGGAAGATAAACTGTTCATGAACCAGACTAGAAAAGTAGTTCTGAGATATTCTTAGGGTGGAACACCTGTTCTGTGCTCTATCCAGAACTATTTGTGAAGAACTTGGGTATTCTCTGACTTCATCTCTAGCAATAGAATACAATTTACTGAGATAGGTTTTGTTGCAGATATTTTATTTTATTATTCACTAAGAAAATATGGGGCCATTATATAAGCTGAAGAAGATGAGAAACTTTTGATCTGATCATATCATAAAAATTCAGAAGGCTTTCACAAATGTAGAGAAAGGCTTTTGATAAGAAAAACAGAGATACATAATTGAATCTGTCGCATCAGAGGCATAAGTTGGCTATTATCTTCCTTCATTTACAAAAGGAATGAACTCACAGTTCAGAGTGGCACATAATGTGCAACTTTATGCTGTTTCCACAGGATCAAATTGAAGTTCAACCTACAGCTACAAAGGCTCATGTCCTTTTAACTTCGTAATGCTGCTGTATAGATACCAAGGTAGAATTTGGACAGTGGGACACTCTTTTCAGAAGACAAAGTTGTTTTCAGTTGATAGATTGCATAGTGCTTGAAGAGTGAGAAAAGTACATGAAGTCAATTATAGACACTTAGATTTCCAGTGATCCTCTCTTTTAAAGAGTTTGCATCCTGAGAAAGGAATGAGAAACAGTCAATAAAGAAATGAACAAGCAACATGCTCTCAGGTAGCATATTTTTAAAGGCAACAATTGCTCCAAAGAGTTAGGTTGTGATAAAGAAGGTGCTATGTATTATTTACAGAGCACCTCTGTGAGGACTACCATTAATTAGTTAGGGTAAGTATTGTGAAATGCTGTAACAGGTAAGCACAAAATTCTAGGAGCTGTTACACACGTGTGTGCATGCACACACACACACACATACATTCAAACCTAGTTTTTGTTCACAATTCAGGACAAAAATACCTACTTAACATAGCTTGCCTTTACTTGAACCACCGGAGCCCTATTCATTCATTTAATAGAGAGAAGATGAGAGAGAGTGATCCTAGATGGAACTTTTATCAGCTAGTCTTTGAAGTAACATCCTACATTTCCCCTCACATTCCACTGGCCATAATACTCACTATATAGTAGAAGTGTCATTAAAAAGAAAGAACTCAGTAATGAGGTTTGGCAATGGGGCCTGAAAGAAATATTAGATTCTGGGCAGTTCTTTCCTATCATGAGGGATTTGTTTAGCACATAGGATGAGTCAATGTTATACAAAGCACTGACAACACTGTTTCCCCTAAAGAGCTTGCATCCGAGAGAGACAGGGACAGGAAATGGGCAATGAAGAAATGATAAGCAATATGCTCTCAGGTAATAGGTGTTTTCACCTATTGTTGGATTGTAATAGAAAAGGTGCCATGTACTAGTAAGGGAGTGCTTCTGTGAGAACTGTCCTTTGAGAGGTGTCATACTTACTATTCCTGATGTTGCTATAAAATACCCCTACAAAAGCAAATTAATAGAAAAGGTGTTCTTCTTGTTGTTGTTTTGTTATGTGTTGGTTCACAGCTCTAGGGAATAGCACTGCCCGCTTTTGCGGCATAGGTTTCTATGCCTCAATTAATCTGACCAACATAATCCCTGCCATGCATACCTATGGGACAAATAATTCCTTGCAGATGCACCTTGAGACTTGCCTCCTAACTTATTTCAAATCCTGTCAAGTGGACAATTAACAGTAATCATCACAAATGGAATGACAGCTATGGAAAGAGCTATAAAACTAATATTTTGAACAAGGAGAACTCCTGGTCCAAAGGCACGAGACGGAGTATAAGCTTAATGCCAGAAAAAACTGGGAACTGAGCGGAGTTCATTGTGTCCTCTGTCCATATAAGATGCAAGAAGGTCTAAGACAAAGGTAAGGAGCAGCACAAGGTTCAAGTGTATCTTCATAAAGAAGTTCAATTAAAGGATAGTGACAACACCCCAAATATTTTGTTCTTGAAGTGATACGATTTAACAATTTCTATTCTCACTTCTGACACCTTTCAGTCAACCCCAAAATACCACCAATACCCCCTCTTATCAAATAACAGGGAATGCTTTCTCTTGATTCAGTTATCTCACCATGGATATGTAATCACCTTACCTGGTGTGTAACGTCCTGGAGAGCAGAGACATCTAATTTGTGACTTCCTTGGTAACAAGTTCAATTCCAAGAATGCACTCAGCTTGAAACTACCCTCAAAAGTAAATTGGTGTTGGTAAAGAATCTAGAGAATGAAAACAGTCAAAGGAACAGAGCAGCATGCCTTTGTATTTACTCTCCAGCATGTCTTTACATTCTCTGCCATCTGATCCACACAGCGTATGGGATTCATGGGAAGAACGTGGAATCTACACCACTGTGAGAAGCAAGAAATTAGAGAATGGATCAAAGGGAGACGAAAATACCGTTGCTGAGCACTGGGAAGGATAATGGGACAACTGTCAAATCAGGGATGGGATGGGAGAGTCAATTTGGAATCAGGAAGGGAGCTAGTGAGAGAAAGTTTTGTTCTGAGTCAATTGATAAAAAGCAGAAGCAAATGGGATGCCCAGTAGGCAAATAATTACAGGTTAAGTTGTGTGATGCAGCCAGAGAGAACTGCAGGAATCCCTAGGAATCTAATAAAGAGAAGAGGTTTGAGGCAAGAAGTGAGAATAGACACTGAGATAGCAAAGAAAAAGTAAAATTGTGAGTAAAATGACGTGAAGAGACAAATAAATTATATGTAATAATACCTGAACAAATTCAGATGAAAATACTAGAAATCAGGCAATGAGGAGAGCACTGAGCACTGTCACCTTCTATTTACTTAATTAAAATATAAAACTATTGCTTTTACTGCTGAGTTTCTCTGCTTCCTCACATGCAGAGCAGGGGACAGGCATCTACTGCTTGGTCTCCTTGTGGATGGGGCCATTCAATTTGTCTAGTTCAAAACAGTGACCTGTGACTGAATATTTGTTTGTCAACACAGGACTCCTCATCATTTGATTGATACTTGTCAATTTGTCATTGTTGTCATTTGATTGACAACACAGACTTTTCTTTCCTCATCCTGGACAGTCACCACTAGTGCTGCAATAGATGACTCCTCTGTCATCCTGGAACAAGAACTAGATCTTGACTGTATCAAGCCACTGTTTGGTTAGGATGTTTATGACTACGATAACATCTTACCTTGACTGATAACTGAATGTTACTTGGCAGAAAGGAAGGTTAGTTGTAAGTTGAGATTCACACCTACTATAGGAGAAAATGAAAATTTGGAGATCTTTGAAGGTGGAGAAGACATGAAGTTAAGATAAGATAATGATCAATCTACACACTTACTCACAGAGGCTGTACAGTGGAAAGGAGCCTGTAGACATCACTGCAGAGATGCTGGCCTGCAGATCTTCACCTCACCTACTGACACATAGAGCAAGCTCTCTGTTTAAGAAGACTGATGGGACCCTCGGTGGATCACTGCCTCATCCTCCTCTGAGAAGGCTGGTGGACTACAGATGGACCACTGCCTCATTCTCCTCTGAGAAGGATGGTGGGCCTCAGAAGGACCACTGCCTCCTCCTCTTCCTCTGAGAAGGTTGGTGGACCCATCACATAGACCATTGCCTCCTCCTCTAAGAAGTCTGATGGACCACAGATGGACTACTGCTTCTTCCTCTTCTGAGAAGGATGGCAGGCCTCAGATGGACTACTACCTCCTCCTCCTCTGAGAAGGATGGTGGGCCTCAAATGGACCACTACCTCTTTCCCCTCCTCTGTAGAGCTTACACAAACTAGTTTTTCCTGCCTGAAGGTCAGATTTGGATAGAGAATGGCCCTTCCAGATCTCCAGTGACATAATGCCTGTAACACAGTAGAAAATAGAAACAAATGATCACAGTTCAAAGCAAAAGTAGGACAACAATTTACCACCATGAAAGACCAAATGCTTGATTGGGTTCTGACAAGAAGAATGTATTTACAAAGATAAAACCTGGCTTACAAGAATGAAGCAGAAATTGATTTTCCATATGGGGCCTACCAATGTGGAGATTAGTAAAAAGAAAGGAGGACAAAAAAGGAGACAAGTCCTTTTTTGTTCCAACAATCTGCCCATGTTCATGGCTCTCTCCTTGTAAGAAGTTATGAGAAGGGAGAAATGAGAAATGCAAAAGAAAGGCATCTCTTTTTACATTCTCTGCAAAATTGTGGAAACCTAATTTTAAGTTTCTTATTTCTTGGGCCAGGTGTATTGGTACACATCTTTAATCCTAGGACTGTAGAAGCAGAGGCAGGCAAATCTGTGAGTTCAAGACTACCCTAGTCTATGTAGGTAGTTCAAGGCCAATCAGGGCTCCATCATAAGACCTTGCCTCAAAAATTCCTTTTAGGTGTGTTTATTTCAGTAATATAAGAAAAATTTTAAGTTCTTTGTGACTTTGTAAAAATACTTTATAATGCTTTTTGGAAATCTGATACAGCATATTTTGACCATATTTCTGAAGGTATCATCACATGTGTTAGTCATAGGAAATAGAGAATTCAAGTTGGTAATGACCAGGAAGCTTCCTCTCTGGTATCTAGATTTCATAGTCCTAGAAGATGCTATGTGGCTTTTGTGAGGTAGATGTGAAATCAATAGTCTTAACTATCTGGAAACCCTATGAACTGCAGTATTGACCATCATGTCAAGGCATACCCATGGATACAACAGTGGCACAAATGTTATGTGGAAACCAACTGCTTTCTAATTAGATTTAAGTCTTGCCAGAAAATCATGGTTGGGGAACACATAGTGAAGCTACTATTATTTTGCTAAATAAACATTGAGTCAAAACTGCTTTCTAAATTCATATCTCACTGTGAAGTTTAAATAGAAAATGTACTCACCACTGTTTATATCCAAAACTAATAATTATGTTTTTCTCATTTTTCAGTTTTGAAATAAGAGACACAAAGCAGTAAAAATAAGTTTCCTTAGGAATTTCCTATCACAAGAGAAATCTTACTCCCTCAGAAAAAGGCACTACCAGGGTATATACTCAAGTCTTGACTGAGTTGTCCCTAAATCACAGGAATGCAATGATCACACTGAGTTGGTGCTTAAATCTGCCAAATCTACCTTGTTTTATTCACTGGCCATGATTCCAGAGTTCCTGCTGGCTGTATTTAATAGAGAAAGATATGCTTGAGAAGGCAAATTGATGGAGGGAGTTCACACAGGTGACTGCATGGTTAGTACCCCAGTGTCTTGAGAGCACAGGCTTTGTGTCAACCTTCAACAAAGGCTCCTGTGTTTTTAACAACAGTCTAGTTAAGAGCTGAGGTACAGGCTGTTTGTCTGGTCTTAGGTTTTGATGCTGCCAGTTGCTCTCATATGAGTGAGAACAAATTCTCCAGCATTATTACATCTCAAAAATGTTAATCCACAGGAAGAGAATTTGGAGATGATTTTTAAGTTTATTAGAAGCATAGGTAAGAACCATTAGCATTATCCCAGTTTTCTTTTAATTTCTTCTTTTAAAAATTGTATTGAAAATTCTCAAACATGCTTTTTTTTGCTTAGGTCTTTTCTCTTTTTCCTTGTGGTGCAATAAATGAATGGAGAGTCTTACACAAGCTAGGTAAACAGCTGTGCAGGCTAGTTCTTATCCACCTGACACATCCAGCTACCTGGGAACTTAAATTGTAGAATTATGTCCATCAGATTGGCCTGTAGGCATGTCTACAGGGAATTTCCTTGATTAATTATCAATGTGGGAGGATGTAACCCACCATAGGTAGTGTCATCCCTGGGCAGATACCTGGTCCTGGAGTATATAGAAAACGCAAGTTGAGCATGCTTCCAGGAGCAAGCCAGGAAACAACATTCCCCATGACCTCTGCTTTGGTTATTGTCTCCAGGTTATTTATCTTGAGTTCTTGGCCTGGATTCTCTTGATGGTGGACTATAACTCCTTCTTCTACAATTTGCTTTGGGTCATGATGTTTATCACAACAACAGAAACAAAACAAGAATAGCACCCTAGTGCCGAGCTGTATCTCTGGCACCTGTGAGTAGACCTCTACTGTTAAGATTGGCTTCTGGATTAGTTTTGCTTCTTTTTACATTCCTGGAACTGCCCAATGGTGTCTTAGCTCATCTCATGACAGAAATGCTTCATACATCTCCAGTACAGACCTTTAAATAGGTCTTGAATCTTAGTACTTACTCCATCCACATGGGATAAGGAAAGAAAAAAATGAAAACATTCGAACCTGATTGGAATTGTGAAAAAATGACTACTTTGATTTATTTTTTTATGTTTCAAATGATGATGATTGCATTATATAGACTTTTCAAAACAAAAAAATCACACTCTCAAATCTAAGGGAAATTACTTACTGTAGATAAGGGCCTTTGATATAAACAACTTTTAATATTAAAGATATGATTCGTTTACTGCTCAGATGGGTCTTCCAAATATCATACTCTGTTGCTGAGTAAACTTAAGTTTAAAAAGACTCCTAAATATTTCATACCTTTTACCCTCTCGTATGGCTGAAGAGTGTTGGGGATGGGGAATTTTTATAAATTTGTTCCCAGAACCCAGGCTCTTTGCCATCCTACTGAATAGCTTCTCAAATTGACATAGTGTCTTAAGGCTGGATGCTTGGAACTTCAAGGTTTTACATCTTACCATTTTGTATTTCTACTTATAAATCTGAAGCAAAGAAAAGTCAAATAACCTGCCCAAGGTTATACATGTCCATATTTTTCTCCACATAATAATCTACTCTAGTTGAAATTCACATCTAGGATTTATACAGAATAATGAGGAAGTCGTGACATTTTTTAATTGAAGGCGTGATAAAAGAATCATTTTGATCTTGAATTTTTATCTCATGTCCAGGATCGAAAGGTAAAAAAATGGTGTAAGCCAAAAGAGTCCTTATCTTTACCAAGCTCACTTTTTCATGACAGAAAGAAACCATCCCTTAGGCTGAAACTGTTTTAAATAGACCATGGTCACTTACTTTATGAAAAGCATCTTTGAGGCTCTAAGGGAAAAGAGATGGCATGATTGACCTACCTCAGTGAACTTTAACTTACATCTAATGTATGACTTCAAGAGAAGTGTGGTCTCCTCCTACCAGTGTCATATATCCTATAAAGTCTTCCAGGTCACTTCACTGTAGTTCCAGGTAGGGCTAACAATACCATGTCCTTTCAGCAGAACAGCTAATTTTATTTTTAACTGTCAAAGTTTTCACTGCTCCATCTTTCCAGTTTGAAGTGCATATATTATCAGAATGACCCAATTTCAAAACCAGAAATTGTTTTCCTTTAGATAATTATTAATTTTTTAACCTTCTTATAAAGGAAAAAACAAGGAAGTATCTGGATCAATTTCCTTGAAATTGCATACCATATCTGAGCATATTTTTAATTGCATCTATTAGATAGAGGTTCCCTCCCTGGAGCTACAAAAAGCTGTCCCTACACCCTCTCTGACTTAATGTTTTTAGTTGATTTCCTAGCATCTCTAAACTTTAACTTCATTGCTTGCAAAATAAGAGAGGCAGCAGACCTTACCCAGAGCAGGAGTCTAAACTGCATGTGAAATATTTAGGGCAGTCTGTGGTGCTCAGTACATTCCTGATGTCACATTTGTAAGTTTGGTATTAATTACGATGCATGCATCTATCCTCGAGGCTTGAGTTTCCACCTGTACGCTTAGGAGGGACAGATGATTTTACAGCCTAACTCTCATACTCGAGCATTCATCCACTCATTTAATACATATTCACTGAGAATCTAAGAGGTAGGCTATACTCCGGGCATTGGAGTCACAGAAGTGAATGAAACAGATTAAAGTTATATAACCAAGCTTACTTCCTATTAGAAAACACAATAAATAAGTCGATCTGTACTTTGATAGAAATAAGTGCTTCAGTAAGATATAATGTGGAAACAGCACATGGTGTATTTGAATCAACATGTAAGAGTTTTAAAGAAGTAGGTCAAGAACAGACAATTTTAGATAGGATGACACAAGGAAGATTTCCTTAGAAGACAAAATTTTAGTAAAAGTGTGCAGGATTAAAAAGCAAATAGTATGGCTCTCAGTTCTTTCCTGTACCATGAATCTTTTGATAAGCACTAAACATATGCCATGTGTATTCTGTGTATCCTTTATCCCATGTGTCCAAACTCAATTGTCATAAACCACCTTCCAAACCTGTTCCATATGCGATGGTTTCTTTGCTACCCTCCTGTCACTCAGGCAAGCAATTAGCTATGACACAGCTAAAGCTTGCTTTCGGTTCCCTTGCCCCACATACTTGCCCGTATCTACAGAGTCCATTTCCTGCAAGTTCTACCTTCCATAATCCTTTCCTATGAGTCTTTAGTTTCTGTTTCTACCACTGTAGTTGAGATACATCTTTGTTTAACATGTCTGGTTTAATCCCTTAGCTGGTGGCTTGTCCAAGTTCTTAGCCCAGATACATAGCCATCAATGAGCTAGCAGCTCAGAGTCTCAATGTCTCCACTAATATTTTCTCTGAATTAGTTTAACTGAAGCAGTGAGTGGTTGAACAGTTTGAGATCATCTTAATTCAGTGAAGCAACAGTACCAGTCTTTGTGTCTGACCCACTAGAGTAAGATGCCCTTCTATGCTGAAGCAGAAAGGTCATAATAACAGTACAGGGATGACTACTCCTCTTTTTTAATTAAAAAAGCTACTTGAATGTTCTCATCACATAATACATACAATTTCTTTTTGATACTATGGTTGTGTTATGTCTATGTGCTCCTAACAACAAGGAAGAAACAAACCATTTGCATGCTCCACCTTGATACAGAAGCTCTCAGTACCTGAACAGAATCAAACAGTCTTGTTAAAGCAAGGAAGATGAGGAGAAAAGTGGCTTTTGAATGAACATCAGATAATTCTTGCATGGTCCTCTACTGAATAAACAATTGTGCATATTCAAAGGGCTTAAGATAAATGTTTTTTTTCAGTAGTGTTTTTCTCATCCTCTTGTGTTCCAAACTCTTTCATCTTCATACCCTAGATCAGTTGATATAGATATGTAGCCCAAGGACCAAGATACTATTTGGTCTTTTCATTCTCATTATCACACAAACACACAGTGGAATTTTCTGAAGGCTACTTGATATGTATTAGTCAGCAGATTCAATGCAAAAGATTATATTAAAATCCAGTTTTTAAGGCAAATATTAATGGGATTTTCAAAAATGTACACATCACCATTCTTTTCATCAATTATTTTTAGAAACTGTATCCATTCTCATTAAAATATAGTATGACAACACATAGTGAAATATTACTGTGTCCAAATGAATTTAAATATTTAAAAATTCCAATGCCTGATTTAGTTTTACATTTTGTAAATATTGAAACACGTAATGTACTTAAATAGAAGCTCCTTGGGAAGGTCAACAGTTTTAGGATCCTAAAAGGGGCCTGTAGGCAAACAGTTGGAGAAGTACTGCCCCATCGATATTCAGTGTCTCCACCATTAATAACACTTTCTAGATACTTACTATAAAGACCTGGGTTGGCTGAATCTTCTTCAATTCATTGAGCATCACTGTGGTAGGTTTCCATTGTTGCATAGCAAATTATCCAACAACTGACCAATTTAAGTCAGGAGGTTGGTAAGTTGGTAAAATGTGAATACCAAGAAGTAAAATAAAAAAATAACCAATAACTTTTTATAGTATCTTGCACCTTTCTGGTAGAAGAACTTCAGTCCTTCTGTCCACAAATCAAAAATTTATCAGCAGACATGACAAAGGGCTTTGTCTACAAATAAAATATTTACCATCATACATAGCAATGTACAATATAAAAAGAATATGAAAATTCCTGCTAATAACTAGTAATTATATTTTTATAATGACTAGCAAATAAAAATCACCACACAAATATATAGGTGGAAGTTTCTGCCCTACCTGTCAGTTCCCAAATAACCAACTCGAAGATGTAAAATTAATTACAAATGCTCAGACAATAGTCTTGTTACTTACTAGCTCTTACATCTTAAACCATTTCTATTAATCTATGTGCTGACTTGAGACTCATACTTTTTACCTCTGTCCCTTTTTGTATGTCCAACTCATTTTGTGTCTGGCTTCTGGCTCCTAGACTCCACTCTTCTTCACAGCATTCTCCCTGCCTTAGGCTGTCTATTCCTGCCCAGCTTCTAGCCAATCAGCTTTTTGTGAGATAAACACATATTTCCAGTGTACAAAAGGATTATTCCACGGCACTAATCCAAGGGTGCAAGATTAGCAAAAGAAATGAGAAAAACCTTTCACAATATGTCCTTTCTACATTTTTAACTGGAGATGTCACACATCCCTTTCCCAATAGACCCAAAATACAAAGCCAACAATACTTCTGGAACGAGCTTCACTTATGTTTTAGGGTTTGGTTTGGTTTGGTTGGGGGCTTCTTTTAGGGGTCAGTTTGGTCTGTTTTGCTGTGGTGGAGGGATACACCCTTTTAATGGCTTGCACATGTGATCAGGCATTGTGTGAACAAATAATACTTCACAGTACTTGTATTCAGTTTTCAGAAAAAGAAATAAAAAAATGAACCGAAGCCTTTGTAGATCTAAGCATTTTCTTCAGTTTTCTTCCTGGGTCTCTCCACAATACATAAGCTTTCGCTTCCATATCTGTTTCAGGGGTCTTTTATAATGTCAAAAATTGAGTCTTTGTTTCCAAGGAGCAGAATACAAAATGCATCTGTGTGCCATTTAAGAGAAACCATTTTGTCAGCCTTGTTTATGCACTCAAGATAATAGTGTTTTAAAGAAGGCCGGACCCAGCCTCTGCCTGTTTATTCAATATAAACAGAAGCATCCCTTTTGACGTCGTAGGAGCAGGATGTGTGCTAATTTTGCCAAGTAAAAGCCACTGCACTTGCACATATAAATCCTTGTCTAAAGCAACCTCACTGCCTCACAATAGTGTGGAAGTGCACATAAAAGATAATATGGCAATTTTCATCAAATATTAATGTGCACTGACACATAGCCATCTATTATGTCGGCAGAGTGCCCACACTGAGACACCATAGGGTTACACCTGCCTTCACCTTTGTCTTTCCTCTTCAGCCTTTGCCTCCTCCTCCCAAGCAAAGCAAAGCTTTCTGTTCCTCCCCTTCCTGCCAAGTCCAGCAGCAGACCCACTGGTGTCCTCATGGTGGCCCATTTAGTTACAATAAAATATCTACTGGGATAATGTGTGTTCAAGAGAGGAATGACATTTATTGTTTTGGGTTTATGATCCTGTGAGCTGAGCAAAAGTGAGAGCCAGCCAAGGCCCTGGTGTAACAAGGAGCTGGAAGCTCACAAGCCATGTTTGTATTTATTTCTTTACCAGTTGCTTACCAGCATTTCAGTAAAAAAAATGTCATTATGTTTTCTCCATGCTTTATGTAAGAATGTATGACTAGCCAAATGACAGTTCAACTGCAGTTTAAAAATAAATGTGTTGGTTAAATAGTTCAGCTGGGGTTGTATTTTTCTCTTTGTGCTCAGCTACAAAAGCAGTTTTGCAGTGACTAGACCCTGCATGCAGACACTGTAACTCCCTGTGGCTTGTCACAGCCATTCAAGCCAGGGCCCATCCCACATCCTGCCCCATTTCAGACTAACTGCCACACCTAGAGGAAGGAAGCATGAAGAATCTGTTTACATAATTACAAATCTTCCAATTCAAAAAGACACATGCCAAATTCATTGCCTTGCTTCCAGATAGAATCTCCTCTCACTGTGGTACAAATCTCTTCCCATCACAAAAAAAAAATAAGATGCAAGTTCTGAATTTTATACCTTGGGATGGTATGATGAAACTTTTCTTATTGTTACACAGAAAAAACAATCCCTGCCCTTCACAGCTGTTGCCAAATGAAGGTTTCCAACTCCTTGGATTTAAATCGGACTGTTTTCTATGCCTTCATATTTAGCATGTTTAAATCAACTGTATTGTTAAAACGCTTTTCTCTGTGCTGAACTTTTGCCTCCCATAAACCCTTACCCAGCATGAACTTAGCCAGAAGCTTCACACTTGGTTGTAAGCGCATCCCTCATCATCTCCTGATCAATAATTCAAAAACCCAATAGAAATGCCTTAAATTGAAATTGAACATACCATTAAGAGTCCTCAAAAGGTGGGCATCATTCATTCAAAACAACTATCAGCACTCCACAGTCACCAACACAGTGCCCAATACAGCTTGAAATCTGGATTCCTCACTGACTGCCAAGGCATTTCCTCCATATCAATTATTTAGTCTTGAGTGAGTAAACTTCTGATCATCTCCCTTTGTCTGGGCATCATCCTTCTGGTTCTCAGAGGCAAGGCAGTGGTATACTCATTCATTTCCTCTTCGTCTAGGCCCCTGCTTTTCATTAAACTTCTCCCAGCCATCCAGTAAGCTCTGGGACCCATGATTAAAAGAAATTATCCATGTAATGATCTTAATTTAGAAAACCCTGATGCATAAAGGAGTGCCAAAATTCTCCAAGTCCAGTCTTCTTCCACTGGTGGTCACTGGTGGAGAAAGAGGTACACACTGGAAAATGTTGCAGTAGTCACTGGACAAGAGGTAAAGAAAGCTGAGGATAGAGTCAAAATTAAATGAATAAACAGGTAAAACTCTTGCATCCATCCTACTTAGCTCATAAACACAGGCATGAAACCTCAACCACATATGCTGAGGTTGCAGGGATACTTTCAATTTAATGGATTAAATATTTGAATATTTGTTCGATCTATAAGTATAAAATAGGTAGATTTTGCTAAAAATAGATAATGAAGAGTAAATAAATAAACTAGGTAAGTTATAACTCAAAATTTGAATTTTATTTTACAGTAACTGTCTTAAAATTTCATTCTGTAACTACCCATGTTCTCTACCACAGATCTGCAGTACATGATATCGATAGAAAAATAATCCCTTTTAATTAGATTAATTTCACAGTTTCACTCTGAGGTTGTTTGTGAAAAGGCAAAAGTCTACCATGTAAAATATAAGACAGAAGCAAGAAAGTACTGAGGAACAGTCCTGATGTTTCACAGACTACAGTCTCATGCTATATTTAAACTGAAGTAATGTGCTGGCTTACTACTGCTTCTGTTGACTTAATGCAGCTTGGAGTAAAAATGAAAAGCAGGAAGCATCCATAAAATATAATCCACTCAGCATTTATGATAAATCAATTATGGAAAACCCTATGTATGGCAAATGCATTCAAAATCATTCCATGAATAAAGAAATACAGCAGTATTTACTTTAGCAATAGTAAGTGTGCACCAGGGATTTGTAACTGTCACAAAGTGCATCTGAGTTGATCATGTTTCCACCCCAGTCCTCTTCCATGCATTGTTCTTTGTTCTTCTACAGAATTTCAAAGGACAGACTCGATTGAGTGTTAATCTTTTTCAATGTGCCTTTACTCACTTTGAATCTTGTCATTATGCTTAATTAGTGGGAGTCTTTTGGCCCTCTTCTAGAGTCTACAAATGTAGCATGCTCCGAACTCATATACTCTACAGCATCACGGGAAAGGGATATAAAGTACTTAGAAGGAGCATCTCCCAGGTAAACATAATTACTAGCTTTTATATCCAACAGAATTATTCTAGTAACTAGAAATGTATACAGATAGATGATAGATAGGAGACAAGAGGTAGATAGATACATATATAGATGATAGATAAGAGAAGGTAAAGGGAAAGATAGATAAATAGATGATAGGTTAGATAGACAGACAGACAGATGTTAGATAAACTACCAACAACTGCAGATACTTTAAAATGCAACCAAAATATTCTAATTTTTGGCAGAAACAATGTCTATTCACTCCTAGATCAATCCAATTTTGGAAAAAAAATATAAGAAATTCTAATCAAAAAGTTGTGCATCTCTTACTGAAAGGTCAGTTCTGTTTCAGAGGAAGCTGGAATGCTGAGTCTTCGCTTTCCCATTATCACCTGCTCTTTCTCCAAATGCAAACAGAGACATTTCCTAAAATACTGCTAAGCAGGAAGTAGGTGCGAAGTACGTGGTGTTGACTTAGTTACAACAAGGAAGGGAAAAAACGTTATGGAGAGAGGCAGGAAATCTAAGGCCTGGACATCTCCACAGTAGTGGACTTTGGCATATTCAAGTCATATGAGACCAAAGCTTTGGCACTAGATATTAAAGGAAGATTTTGCCCATGTATCTATCTCTGCTATATACATGAAAATGGAATATGAACAACATTCAAGTAATGAGGAAGCAGTATAAATCAAAATACATATGCTGATTAAGGCTAGGTGAAGCAGAACTTGCTCAGGAGTAAGCAATTAAGCCAACAAAATCAAACACTTTCTGGCATCTTTTCTATTGTCCCAACAGATCACTTCATTGGGTGACATATTTCATAGTATTTCTTTAATGTGATACACACCATTATTTTAAGTACTTAGTATAGATCCTGAAAAAATAGTAGATATCAGTAATGAAGATTATAATTTATAACTAATTAGCATTAAAGGAACACTTTAAAAACCATGACCTTATGTGTAAGTATTCTTAAAAAATTACTAAAGAAAAATACTCCCATAAAAAATCAGAAAGTAAGTAAGCATGCCCTGGCATAAGACCTAATCTCAGAAGACATATTTTATGATAGAGAGAGGAGGAATAAAATGGTAACAGACATCTCAGTTCAGACACATCAGCTCCTCTCAGAACTAGTATAAACGTTACCAAATCATAACCTTTTCTTGATAACATAGCTGGGAACTGGTGAAACAGGATACAAAGGATGTTAGGATGCTGTGTCTGTGGCAGGTGTTGATTCTGAAGCATTCTAGGTCATTAAAGTTGTTAGTCAGGAATTAAGTCTGTATATGAAACAAAGAAGACACAAGGATAAGCTGGCGTTCTCAAGGGCAAGTTAGACCGTTCAAGCATAAAGTAGAGCACACGACTGCCTCAGTGAGGACCACGACCTGCATAAATGACTCCCATTTGAATGGGACTGCATGTCCACCTAGTTACTGGCTCAGAGCAGCTGATGGAGGAGAAACTCTGAGAATTTGGGATGCCTGAGCCAAGCTGCTTCCCTGTGACTACAGAGAGAGAAAACACCAACAGACTAACAATAACCACATGACCTGGGGCTGCCTGTGGAACCCTGCATGAACTTGTTGATAGCATGGCTGTTGATTTACCTGCAGATACCTCTTGAGTAGTCATCACGGATCCAGATCCATGATGGTGGGAGGATGCACAAATCATATATCAGTCTGTGTATCTGCAAATGGACAAAATGAAAATGAGTAGGTTATTTTTTTCTTATTCTGCAATCTACATTATGATGAGAATAAAATACTAAAAATGAATTTTTTAAAGAATTGAGCTTTTGTCCAAATGATGTTATTCCTTTGTTAGTCATTTTTTCAATTTCTGACAACACCTGATCTCTTCGCCTAAGTTTCAAATCCCTTAGATTTGTATATCTACATCCACCAGCATTCTCTTCTTCTATTTCAGCTCTAGCCATTGTCATCTTCAATAATGGTCTCCACTATGCCATGGTTCTTTCAATCTGGGGCGCAGGAATATCCCAAATTCCTTACCTAAAGGGATGGCCTTCAAGTCCTCCAAGCTGTGTTCAGTAGCAAAATTCCAGTTAGCTCTTCGCTAACTGCCTCTTAGATCTTGGCTTGTGCTTGTTATTTCATCATCTGGTTCTAAACATTTTTCTCAGCATTATGCTCATCCCCCACCTCTAGCCACTGTATAGCTTTACATATGTGTGTGTATGTATATATGTATGTCTGCCTATGAGTATACAGTACTTTTTAGAAAGTAAAGGCAGGACTTTAATCTGTTTATTTGGATACATGTCATACACAGTCAAGTTGCAGCTTGTTTAAAAAATAATTAAGGGAATGGTGTATAAATAAATTTCTATGCAAGCTGTTTGTACTGTGACCATTTATCTGTATCATACTCTTGCTTACTTTTTTGGAGGGTTATCAAAGATTACTGTGTAGATGCGGTTGTCTTTATTGTACAAACAGTGATAACTATTCACTGATGGTAAACAAACAACAAATCTTGTATCATTTTTCACATTGTAAGTTAAATTTTTAAAAATTACTGAAGCATTTACAGACCTCCAGATAAACTGCTTCAGCTGGATCACCTGAAGCCTCACACCCCCATGCTGTTGTCTCCAGGAGTTAAGGACTCTGGGGGAAGAAGAGGAGCTCTTCCTCTGTAAACAGTCCTCTTTGGGAAAAATCTCAGACACTATCATTTAATCCTCTGCAGAACACTGGAAAACATGGCTGGGGTGAAAAGTCTCTGGTTTCTTTGCTGACTGATAACTGAAGCAGAGGTGTGGGAGACTATGGATCCTGCGCTGAGATGCCCCCTGGTTTCCTGTTCTCTCCTTTGACTTTTTCTAGATGCTCTCAGTTTATTTTTCAGATTGTTTCCTGTATTAGTCTGTGCCCCTCTTTAAAGGAGTGGAGTCTTCCGGAACCTTCTGTAATTCTTGCCTTTCTTTGATTCCAGGCCTCAGAGTTTTTTGATGAGCCCTGAGGTCAGGGCTCCCTAGGATATGGCTGGTAGACAGAGAGCACTTGTTCTGCTCCCTCCTCCAGAACAGCATCCATGTGAGCACATTAAAAGAAAGAGAATGCCTGAAGAGACTGTCCCTCTTTAAGATTGAGTAAAATGCATCCTTCAGCTTTTAAAATGACTAATGTTTAGAAAAATTGTTTTCTACATAAAGTATATCTGGGTTTTATACATTTGAGAGGTCACTTTAAAATGGAACTAAAGTTATAAGATAAAGCAAGACATTTATTTTGCCCTGAAAGCATTGGCATGCAATTTAATATGCTGTTGAGAGCACAGGGATGGTTGCAAGTCAAATGAAGGTTATATTATAATTGATACTTTGAATTGTTAAGGAGAAGCAAAGGTGAAGTGGGATGCTTTTATTATTATTTTTGTTGAAATCTTATTAAAAACTCTTAATGGAATGCAAACTAGAGGCCATCTTCAAGGTCTCCAGTTAAATTAGATATGCAGCCATTAATAGTATCACTTACTTGTTGAAAATGACTCTCCCAACACAGACAGGGGCTAATGTATTTTCTCATTTCTTCATATTCTTTGTTATATTTTTAAAAAACTGAGGAGTATAAGTCTGGCCATCATATTTTTTCCTGACTTTTTCGAAATAAGTATCTTGCAATTTATATTGAGAAACATAAACTAACAGGTAACAACATTTTACTTCGGTATTTTTTTCAGTTGTGTTTAAGTACCTAAACACCTGAAAATTCTAATCACTATTAAAAATTATGTGAAATATATTAAATTAAAAGAATTGGGAGGAAATATGGCTGTAGAGATAGGATCATTCATGTGTTATGATTCAGAGCATTTGTCTAGGAATTGGCAGGCACGGGTTTGTCTCATAGGGTATGTGCACTTGTTCATTCATTGTGTCATATCTCTTGGTATATGTCAGTAGACAAACTGAAGAAATGACAGAAAAGTGACAGGGAAGAAGGCTTAAAATTCACAGAAAACTGTATTTTTCCTAACTTGCTTTTAATCAGATTTTAGAAAAATCTGTTATTATTTTATTTTTAGCTGCAGAACATCTTGGTTAAGCTCTTGACAGAATACTTTCCTAGAAGTAGGAAAATGTGAAACCTACTATTTCAGTGTGTAACTGCTCAGGCATACATTGCTGTTACAGAGCAATGAAAAATAGTATAATTACCACAAATCTTTTCATGGTATAGAATGCAGAGGCCTTTAAAATAATTCTCATTATGCAAATCCAGTTCTCCATGTAGTATTCTGTGAGAGGAGTTTGTTATTCAATTGGCCAATCCGCCCTGTTGAATCGACACCCAGCAACTTCGTGGTACCATGTTTCCTCAGTAAGAAAAACGTACACACTTTAATATAGATGCACCACCATGAAGAACCAATGCGAGGCGCAAAGACCCCGAGGCAGACACAAACAAAGCCAACATTTTCAAATGTGATGTCTGGTGCATGTTATGATCATCACTGCGGAGGAAGGAAGCAATTCAGAAAACAAATTTTCAAAGCTATTTTTATACCAACATTCATTATTTTTTCTAAATGTGCACCCATTATGGTAGAGATAGCTTTTCCTTCCTTAAACTCAGAATTAAGTCAAAGTTAATTTCCTACAGTGCAGTGTGTTTTTGTGTTAGTTAAATTGTTGAGCCAGAACCAAATGAGAATGCCTATTTGTTTGCGTGTGAGGGCACTGTGGGCTGGGGTCTACATACTCTCTGTAGCTTGTTTAAGTGGCTATAGGCCTGATAGAATCAACAGTGATCTACTGGACATGAGTAGACAATTTATTAACAGTTCTCATGTTTATTCATTCCAAAAGTAAGCATTTTAGAAGCGGCATTACTAGATACTGTATGTTTGTGAACAATAATTTTATGTAATAATACTGTATTTAGAATAAATCAATTGATTATATACATACAGTAAAATAATTAAAAGTTAATATCCTAGCTACTTCATAAAAGTTATAGAGCTACCTAGAAAAAGTGTCACAAGAGGACACAAAGCCCTGTCTGTGTGAACTCATGGACAACTTTGCTTCTGCCCTATCCATGCACAGGTTTCACACTCTTCCCTTTGAAATGCTTAAGTACAGTTTTCTACCAGTGAGTGTGCTGGCTCAAGGTTTTACCTATGTATCACTGAGAGGTTTGGGTGAGCTCTACAGGAGAAGGAAAGAAAGGGAAAACCAAGTCTAACACCATTTCTAGCTGACTTCCAGCTGGTACTGCCCAGGAACAAGATGCCAGTTTAATATGACAAAATCAATCAGTGCCCCTTTAAACAATAATTGAGAGTAATAGAACAAAATGGAGAAAGACAAGTACCCCAGATTAAACCCTCACAGATGACAGGGGATAAAGAAGAAAAATTGTTTGCAAGACAAGCCACAGAGGAAGGAGCCAGGAAGCGGCTATTTATGGTGTCCTAATCTGTAAAGATAAAAAGAAAGAGTATAATAGGGATAAACTCAATGCAAAGGGAAAATGTTGATCCACTTTAACTTTTTGCTGAGTAAAAATTCTGACATGGTTATGTAAAATATTCCCCACTGGCTATCTTGGATGATTTTGCCAATTAGAAAGAATTTGTGTTTATTTGTCTGAGAATAAAAATCTGAGTCTTAGAGAAACTGAAACTAATTTAACTAGGCTTGCATTTTTACAGACTTTGTTAGAGCTTACGCTCACGGAATTAGACTGTATGATTCCTACTCCCACCTGTGCCTTGCTTTCCGTAAAAAAGCCTGAGGCCTGTCTGCACTCAGCTGGACTCTTGGGTAGCCATGAAGAAAATGGGGGGGGGGCAGGGGACACTGGGCTTAAGCTTGAGAGAGGAAGGACCATGTGGCAGTTGAAGCTCTCCCTTAATCTGGCCTCTGTCCTTGCCATCCATGCCACCGCTCCTGACTGAGGGCATTTCCTATGCAGATAGAAGTCCCCACCTGTTGCTTTCTGATTCATTTTTCAAAACCTTGTGTACCTCCAGAGAGAAGTTCTAAATCCGGCCTCACATCAGTCCTCTCCCAGACTCTGTAACCTGCTCTTCCATTCAGTCACCAATGACTCCATGGTAACAACTTCAGACCTCCAAGCTTGGGCATTAGCTTACCCCCACCAGTTAGAAGATATGTCATAGTCTGTGTCCAACTAAGACCTATTCCGTTTGCATTAATCTACCAAACAAGGCCTCTCAGTAAGAACACTGTATTTATCAGTTAGTATGACTTTATTAATCAGTGAGAATCTATACAAATTCCCATGTCGTAGAATTTATGGTTTATTTTTTTAAAAATGTAACAGAATTAAGCTAATTTGTAAGATTCTGTTATCTCTGGTCCATGCATAATTTTTTAGTTCACTTTTTCCCATTTTGTTACTAGAATATAGTGATTATATATGTTAGTGGGACTCATTAAGCATTTTCATGGTATTTACCTGAATTGCCCTCTCTTGTTCCTTACCCACTCTTACTGAACCAATACCACTTTCTGTGCAGCCCCACTTCCATTACCAAGTCTTAAGCAGGGGAGTTGTGGGGGAATTAGACAACCCAATGAGTTTTGTTAGAATGCTTCCAGGAACATAAGTATGGGATCATTTATAGAAAAACAAGCAGATTACCAGTGGCTACAGCCCCACAGCACATGTGTCTTCTACCCAGAAACCATTA